GCGTCACATGCCTGATGAAGGGGTCCTACGAGGCTCAGAAGCGTCCCATGCCTGATGAAGGGGTCCTGCGAGACTCCAAAGCGTCCCATGCCTGATGAAGGGGTCCTACGAGGCTCAGAAGCATTACATGCCTGATGAAGGGGTCCCTACGAGGCTCAGAAAGCGTCACATGCCTGATGAAGGGGTCCTGCGAGGCTCAGAAGCATCACATGCCTGATGAAGGGTCCAGCGAGACTCAGAAGCATCACATGCCTGATGAAGGGGTCCTACGAGGCTCAGAAGCGTCCCATGCCTGATGAAGGGGTCCTGCGAGACTCCAAAGCGTCCCATGCCTGATGAAGGGGTCCTGCGAGACTCTGAAGTGTCACATCTGAGACGGAGGAGGAAGTTGTCACGATCTCCTCCTCTCGCCGATCGACTGACGTGTTCGATGGTCATGCCCCTCAATTCATGTCCCTGGTGTCCTGCCAAAATAAAATGGACTGCTACGGGTTTGCTCAAATCAATGGGTTCACCTTTGGTACTCTTGACTAGAGCTGTCCTCATGTCACTCCTGTGATTCTGAAATCTCCGCTTAAAGGGACCAAACGTTTTCCCCACATAAACTTGGGTGAGCCGGGCATTTCAGAATATAAACGCAGTGATCGGTGTTACAGTTCAGGAAACCCTGTATCTGGTAACGTTTCCCACTGTGGGGGGGGGTGTGAAATATTCCCCACAGATCAATGAGTTGCATACATTACAATTGTAACACTTGTAGCAACCTTGTCTTTCTGAGAAACTTGAATACTGTCCTGACACACTGTAGGTGTCCCCATTGCAGCTCACTTGGCAGTCGGAGACACCCCCCCACATCTCTAGGCATCAGTCTTTATCTTCTGTCAGGACATATATGCTGCTGGTCGTTGTTTCCAGAACCCAGCGCTGCTTTCAGCTGACACTTTATTCCAGTCCGGGGAGTACCATGATCCACATGTGACCACCATGTTTATATCCCCGGGAATGCAGTTTATGTACATCTGATGATTGTTTTATTTATTTTCTCAGTTTGTAATGTTTCTGTTTCCATTGATTTGAATACATTTTTGGAGGGAACATGACATCATGGGGCGGGGCCAAGCTCATTTCACTTCACTCTGATTGGTGGATGGTTTTCTTAAATAGTTCTCCAGTTTCTATCACAATTTGTCACATGCCTGATGAAGGAGTCCTGCGAGACTCCGAAAACGTTGCCTTGCTGTGACTATGTGATGGTTTATTAAAACCTTTGGACCCGTATTGGTGATCCTCGGTGTGCTGGGGACATTTTATCCTCGCTGATTTTGTTCAGTTCCAGCCGACGGTCGCTGCAGCACCCACTTATACACACCGCCATTTTTAACACAGGAACGTGTGTGCGTTTGGATTGTACACTTACAATATAACGGGAGACAATACAGCAACAATACAGTTCAATACAAGAGGGATAGGAGGGCCTGATCCTGGGAGCTTACAAGGAGGGAGGGGCTAGTGGTACAAAAGGTAGTAACTGTGGGAGATGGACTGGTAGGAGGAGTAGAAGATTCCATTATTAGCTGAGGGCAGGATAGGCTTCCCTGAAGAGATAGTTTTTTCAGAGATCGCCTAAAAGTGAGCAGAGTAGGCGATAGTCTGATAAATTGGGGTAGAGAGTTCCAGAGGATGGGGAAGCTCTGGAGAAGTCCTGGAGACAAGCATGGGAGGAGGAGACAAGCATGGGAGAAGGAGGCAAGGAAGCTAGAGAACATGAGGTCGAGGGAGGAGCGGAGAGTACAGTTTGGGTGATATTTGGAGACAAGATTGCTGATGTAATTTGGGGCAGAGTTATAAATGGCTTTATGTTATTGTTAATGTTTTGACTTTTATCCATTGGGCAATGGGAAGCCAGTGGAGGGATTGGAAGAGGGGTGGAGGACACTGAGTGGAGGACAGTGGAGGGATTGGCAGAGAGGGGCGGAGGACACTGAGTGGAGGCCAGTGGAGGGATTATAAGAGAGGGGATGAGGACACTGAGTGTGGAGGCCAGTGGAGGGATTGGAAGAGGGGTGGAGGACACTGAGTGGAGGACAGTGGAGGGATTGGCAGAGAGGGCGGAGGACACTGAGTGGAAGCCAGTGGAGGGATTAGAAGAGAGGGGTTGAGGACACTGAGTGGAGGCCAGTGGAGGGATTGGCAGAGAGGGGTGGAGGACACTGAGTGAAGAAAAGAACAGTGGAGGGATTGGCAGAGAGGGGTGGAAGGACACTGAGTGGAGGCCAGTGGAGGGATTGGCAGAGAGGGGTGGAGGACACTGAGTGAAGGACAGTGGAGGGATTGGCAGAGAGGGGTGGAAGGACACTGAGTGGAGGCCAGTGGAGGGATTGGCAGAGAGGGGTGGAAGGACACTGAGTGGAGGCCAGTGGAGGGATTGGCAGAGAGGGGTGGAGGCCAGTGGAGGGATTGGCAGAGAGGGGTGGCAGATACAGAATGGTTAGTAAGGTGGATGAATCTGGGAGCAGCATTCATGAAAGACTGAAGAGTTGATAGCCTGCGATCAGATCAGCCAATGAGGAGGGAGTTACAATAGTCAAGGTGAGATATAACAAGGGAGTGAATAAGTTGCTTAGTAGTTTCCGAGGTTAGGAACGGCCGTATCTTGGAGATGTTGTGGAGGTGAAGTCTACAAGATTTGGACAGTGATTGGATTTGGGGTGAAAGGACAGATTGAAGTCTAGGATTACACCCAGTACCCTGGCATGAGGGAGGGACTGATTGTTGTGTTATTGATCTTGATGGAGAAGTCAGGGGAGGGGGAATGGGCTGGAGGGAATACTAAGAGCTCAGTTTTGGAAAGATTGAGTTTGAGGCAGTGGAGTGACATCCATACCGATATGTCACTTAGTAGGTTAGTAATGCGAGAGGAGGCTGAAGGGGTGAGGTGAGGGGTAGAGAGATAGATTTGTGTGTCATCAGCATAGAGATGGTACTTAAAGCCGTGGAAGTTTATCAAGTAACCAAGGGAGGAGGTGTAGATGGAGAAGAGTAGGGGTCCAGGAACGGAACCTTGAGGGACCCCTACTGTCAGGAATGGACTCAGCACTGGTGGTGGGACTCGCCTGCCGTGTGGGCTGCAGTACCAGAGCTGACCAGCGGGTGCTCTTAGCAGCCAGAAGCTCACAATCAGCCAAACCTGGGGCTGATTGTAGAAAGGTGTATATAAGGCATGACCAGGCCTGTGCTCTGGGCCTTGGTGTATGTTTTCCCATGAGCCTCTGTATCCTGTGTTCCTGCTTTGTTGCTGACCCGGCTTGATCCTGATCTCTGTTGACCGTCTCCTGTTTCTGACTACTGGCTCATCCCTGACTATTCTTCTGCCTACTCCTATGCTGTTTGACCTCCTGTTGCTGTACCTTGGCTTGTGACCCGTTTACTCTTTGCCTGCTGCTCTGTACTGATCTGCCTCCACTGTTACCGACCCGGCTTGTCTGACCACGCTAACTACTCTGCCATCCATCCATCCTGCACGGATCCAGCCGTACCTGCACATACCTCTGGCGGATCCCTCTACCACTAGCAGGTGTACTCAGGGGCCGCGACCTCTTCTCAGTCTTGTGCCAAGTCCATCCCCACCATCAGGGGCTCTGGTGAAAAGGCAGACTGGGGCTTAGACTCCGCGCCCTGGGGAATCCTGCCCTGAGGACCGCTAGAGGTACCACCAAACGGTCATTACAGAACCCTACGGCCGGCCTGACCGTTCCACCTCTCCAGCCCTGACTACGCCTGTGTTCCTGCACCTCCTAAAGATTAGTGGAAGGTTGGTTTGCTCACTGTGCGTTTATATAGATATATCTGGGTGGCTAATAATAAACTGTACTATATTACCTGCGTTTCCCTGTGTCAGTCCACACCTTTCTGGTCATTCCTTGATTCCTGACATCACACCAAGGCCTTTTCCTGACCAGAAGTGGCTGCACAGGGAAGCCATCTTGACTTGTTGTGAAGGATGCATCCTGATGAGTTTATATATTTGTCTATGCTAGTCTTTGATGACAGAGAATATGCCTATCAGACTCTGCGGGAGTATACCCGGGAATCAGCTGCTAGAGTGCATACGGGTCGCTCATTCCCTAGTAGGTCAGGTCCTAGAGCTCTCTGAGGTGCAACCATTGATTCAGGCTTGTGTTGAGTTGGCTTCATCTAGTACCCCTGAAAGCAGGGATGAATTCCTTCCTCCATTCAGGGCGAGTCAAATATAATCACTGGTATGGTTGTTGGAGGATGATCCGGATTGCTTCTTGGAGCATTATTCAGCATGTTCACCACATGTGCTAAAGAAGTGTATAAACGCAGTGCAATCTTTGACCAGACAGGCCTTGTGTGTAAGCTGAGCGTTGTCCAACCCTTACTGCAGACATTGGTCAGACTTGTTACACCCAGCCTCAATCAGTTTGCAACGAACAGTCCTGTTTCTCATCATTCCTCTGCTCAAAGCTCTTTTCCTGCATTCCCGACAGCACCCCCAGTGACAGCCCCCCCAGTGACAGCCCAGTATGCCCAGCAATCTACCACATGTCAGTACCCTGCTCCCACTCACTGTACCATCCTGCCAGTTGACTCGGTGCCCGCTGTCGTGCCAGTTGACTCGGTGCCTGCTGTCGTGCCAGTTGACTCGGTGCCAGTTTACTCTGTGCCCGCTGTCGAGCCAGATGACTTGATGCCAGTTGACTTGGTGCCCGCCGTCGTGCCAGTTGACTTGGTGCCTGCTGTCGTACCAGTTGACTCGGTGCCCGCTGTCGATTCAGATGACTTGATGCCTGATGATTCGGTGCCCGCTGTCGTGCCAGTTGACTCGGTGCCCGCTGTCGTACCAGTTGACTCGGTGGCCCGCTGTCGTACCAGTTGACTCGGTGCCAGTTGACTCGGTGCCCGCTGTCGAGCCAGATGACTTGATGCCTGATGATTCTGGTGCCAGTTGACTTGGTGCCCACTGTCGTACCAAGTTGACTCGGTGCCAGTTGACTTGGTGCCCGCTGTTGAGCCGGGTGACTTGATGCCAGTTGACTCGGTGCCCCCTGCTGTCATGCAGTTGACTCGGTGCCCCGCTGTCGAGCCAGATGACCTGATGCCTGAGGACCCAGTGCCCGCTGTTGAACCACATATAACCTGATACCTGATGACTTGGTGCCCGCTGTCGTGCCAGTTGATTCAGTGACCACTGTTGTGCCAGTTAATTTGGTGCCTGCTGTCGAGCTTGGTGACCCGGTACCCGCGGGTTCTGCTAGATGGCTTGGTGCCCGCTGACGTGCCCGGTGACTCTGTGCCCGCTGTCGTGCCAGATGACTCGGTGCCCCACGCTGACGTGCCTCTGCCCGCTGCACAGCTCGACATGCCAGCCCCTGATGTCCAGTTTAAACTGGCCCATAACTGATACCCAGCCTGTGCCCAGTGACCTGCCTTCCTGGGTTCTCCTACACAAAGAGAAGTCTACCAGTAGGAAACCCAGCCAGTTCCGGTTTTTTTAACTCCGGCAGTAGGATATTCAGCCAGTTACCTGACCCGGGCAGTGGAACATTTTGCCCACTAAGGACTGTTTGGAGCATCCTGAGGGCCGCTCCTTGAGGGGGGGGGTACTGTCAGGAATGGACTCAGCACTGGTGGTGGGACTCGCCTGCCGTGTGGGCTGCAGTACCAGTAAGCTGACCAGCGGGTGCTCTCAGCACTGTGGTGGAACTCACCTGCCGTGTGGGCTGCAGTACCAGAGCTGACTAGCAGGTGCTCTTAGCAGCCAGAAGCTCACAATCAGCCAAACCTGGGGCTGATTGTGTAGAAAGGTGTATATTAAGGCATGACCAGGCCTGTGCTCTGGCCTTGGTGTATTTGTTTTACCCATGAGCCCTCTGTACCTGTATCCTGTGTTCCTGCTTCGTTGCTGACCCGCCTTGATCCTGATCTCTGTTGACCGTCTCTCCTGTTCTGACTACTGGCTCATCCCTGACTATTCTTCTGCCTCCTCCTATGCTGTTTGACCTCCTGTTGCTGTACCTTGGCTTGTGACCCGTTTACTCTTTGCCTGCTGCTCTGTACTGATCTGCCTCCACCGTTACCGACCCGGCTTGTCTGACCACGCTAATCTACTCTGCCATCCATTCCATCCTGCACGGATCCAGCCCGTTACCTGCACATACCTCTGGCGGATCCCTCTACCACTAGCAGGTGTACTCAGGGGCCGCGACCTGGTCTCAGTCCTGCGCCAAGTCTATCCCCACCATCAGGGGCTCTGGTGAAAAGGCAGACTGGGGCTTAGACTCCGCGCCCTGGGGAATCCTGCCCTGAGGACCGCTAGAGGTACCACCAAACGGTCATTACAGAACCCTACGGCCGGCCTGACCGTTCCACCTCTCCAGCCCTGACTACGCCTGTGTTCCTGCACCTCCTAAAGATTAGTGGAAGGTTGGTTTGCTCACTGTGCGTTTTATATAGATATATATCTGGGTGGCTAATAATAAACTATACTATATTACCTGCGTTTCCCTGTGTCAGTCCACACCTTTCTGGTCACTCCTTGATTCCTGACACCTACAGAAAGAGGGAGTGAAAAGGAAAAGGCAGCATAATAGGTAATGCTAAAGGAGTGCTGCGATAGTAGGAGGAGAACCAGGAGAGAAGCAGGGTCTTGGAGACCAAGAGAGGAGTTTTTAGAGGAGGAGGGGGGGATGGTCAACCGTATCAAAAGCTGCAGAGAGGTCAAGTAGTAAGAATACGGAGTAGTGTGTGCCATTGGCCTGGATGAGCATGGAGTAGTGGCCATTTGGTTGGGAAAGAGCATGGAGTAGTGGCCATTGGCAACGGAGTAGTGCCATTGGTTGGATGAGCACGAGTCAAGTGCCATTGGTTTGATGGCCAGTTGCCTATGTTGGGATGAGCACGGAGTAGTGGCCATTGGTTGGGATGAGCACGGAGTAGTAGTAAATCTTTAAATGAGGTTTAAGGGCAGTGGGGCAGGAATTTTTTGAGAGAAAAACCCCGACGTAAAGGGTCAGGAAGGTTGTTGTTTGGTGAGGTGGGAAACTCAGGCG